AGACTTTCAAGATGTTCCTGTTATTGTTGCAGAAGGTGTGGAATATATTCTGCTGGATCAACTTCTGGACTTCATGAAAAAGAGTGTCAACGATAGGAACGCCATCCATGAGGCGTTGCACGAAGTCACAGAGTTTGCACTGCAGGGTCAAGATCTGATAGAATTTGTGCCAGCAAGAACAGAAGACAACATCATATCTGGCAGACCGTTGTGGGTGGAGTTATTATCAGCTGCTTTGGAGCGGCTCGGTCTTGCAAGTTGCGATGTTGAGAGACAAAGAGAAATGAAGAAGAATGGAAGGTGATGGTCACGGAAACAAATTTAGCAATCATTCCAGACAACGGACAGACATCAGCAGCATAAGAATCAATAACCAGTATGGTAGTCGATGTGCCTCTCATGCAGACAGCAACGAGAGAGGAGCTAGTGTGTTCCGATATCTTCAATGCTTTCACAATGGAGAAAGAACAGTGTGATCGTGGATTTGAAGAGGTCGGTTTGCCAAGTTGTGGTGCAGAGTACATAGACAGTGCAAAAGAAGAAGATGAAGAAGAGGATGAGGGGGCATCATCTTCTGACGTGGAAGTGAGCGGCAATGATGTCAACAGCGACGAGGAAGACGAGGAACATGATGTATACTATGATTTGAAGGCGGCGGGTGGACAAGTGACAAAAGGGTGGGCACATGCAATTCTGAGGTTCACACGTGCTTTTCCCGATCCGCACAAAGTGCTGCGTGTTGTGATGAAGGGGGCAACACCAGATGGTGCACTACAGTATGCCGCAGTGACCAGCATAATGAAATCATGCAACAAGGGGAAAAAGTGATCACGTGTTGACAAGGGATGGTTTGTTCTGGTCAATAGAGAGGCTGTGCTAGCAACGTCACTGACATGGGGAGTCAACCTGAGTTGCCTCATACACGGCGCACTGGCGACAGCTTGGGGAGAGACATTGCACCCCGGCTTGTCAACAGGAGATGCAATAATTAGTGCTCGACCACGGCAGCGACCGGAGACACACCCACACACCACGACATAATGGCAAGACATCAGGGATAATGACAGGCATGCATAGCATAGAGCAATAGAGTGGTAGTACAAACAATCAGTGCACATACGTTTTGATACGCATAGGAAGCTCAACCTGTACATCCCTCAACCTGTACATCCCTCTATGTCGGCCTCAATTTCAACGAAGGTCGGGTTCACTACTGCATGCCATATCAGTGTACACCGATGCTGTTTGTTGTCGTTCTGGCCTGCACTAGTGAACCTCTCTCTYTCTCTCTCTCTCTCTCTCTCTCTCTCTCTCTCTCTCTCTCTCTCTCTCTCTCTCTCTCTCATATGTCGAGTTGTAGCTATATTAGAGTTTGTACATCCATCTGAGGGTTTTGTGTCATGTTGCCTGTTGTTTACCTCTCCAAATACATGCAGTTCACTACAGCGTGCAGACACAGGATTAAACAATATTTCAATCATTTGATGATTGTTACGATGTACGTCATAATTTGTTGCCTTTTGGAGTACGTGAGACACATCAGACCCCCTGTAATGACCAATGTGTGTATGTTGTGTTTTTTTTTGCATTCTCTGTAATTTAAATTCAAATGTACTAAGTTGTGAAATGCTTTGGAAGTGGTTGCGGAGGTCGGTTGAGGTGCCGAGGTGCAATCATTTTCACGCGGACATGAAAAACACGTACCACATTCACAAACGTCGTGGATGGATAGTTACGAACTTGGGCAGCCACACAAACGTGGTGATGAATGTTGTGTCATATATCGTGTACCATGCGTAAGTCGTTGCCTCTTCCTACACGACCATAGAACCTGTCATGGCATATAAATTATCGTGTCGTACGGTTGACTACTAATCTTTGTCAATTGGGATCAGCGACACAGACCATTCGTACCAAAAACGACAATCAGTACTCCCTCTCTATCTCTTTCTCACAGAGAAGAGGATGTGCGACACTTACATAATATAACAAAATATGCTCTGCAACTTATAATTCAAACGACCTGAACCAATGTACAAAATGTTAATCAAAACATTGTCTGCACCGCTCTGTTTGTTTTTGGAATGCACTGCGTGCACAGAAAATGGACAGCGGTCCACGGGTGTGCGACTGTGGCAGGTCTTTCATGTCATTACGAACTTTGAACTCACATCGTGCGAGGGCATGCCCGACCTTGGTGTACGAAAGAACACATGGGCAGGAGATAGGTGTGGTCGATGACGTCTGACCATCAAGTATAGGTGCAGTGAATTTCGTGAGCGATGAGAGCGAGGACGTCGGGGCCTCCGATAATGTAAATGGGGAGGGCGGGACATTCGAAGAGCAGCAACCGCAGCCTGTCGAGTCTTTTGACAGCTCTCGCAAGCTGGCGACACTGATTTTCTCCTCCAGGGGCGGCGTCGGTATGAGCGACATAGATGCTCTCTTATCACTTCTCATAGACCCGAGGTTCAACACGAGAGACATCGCGTATCGTAATACTCGAGAGTGTTTGACATGGGCAGGGAGTCTAGCAGAGGCTGCTGGATGGAAAGAGTTGGATCTACATTGTGACGATTGACCACGGGATGAGCACGCCATCTTGTGGCACCGCGACTGGCGAACGACATTTCTGTCGATTTTCCATATCCCATTACAGAAATGCGAGACGGTGTCTTCTCTAGAAGTGTCTCCGCCGTCAGAGCACCTCAGTATATCCGGCCCACGCAGCGGGGCGCTAAGTTATCACATCCTGTCGATCATTCGAGCGGACAAAGGTGTGGACGGGAATGGTAATCCACGTTATGTTATCCCTTTTTCATTGTATTCCGACAAGACACATACAGACGATCGTCAAAAACAGACGGCGTACACTCTGATGATGTCACTAGCCGACCACGCATCCGAAGCCACACAGCTGGCCTATCTTCATGTGCTTCATCATCGTCCACGTGACAAAGGATGGGGTCTGTAGTCCACCGCATTCAGAAAGCGAAAGACCATCATTTTGCACAAGACTCTTTCAGTGGTGTTGCAATCTGCGAAGGAGGCATCTCATGATGGAATAATGATACCGACAACGCGATTCGGGGACATAACTGTCCACCCTTTCCTCCTCAACTATATTTAGGACTACCCAGAACGATGTGCGATTGCAACTGTGAAGTTTGGTGTATGTCCGACATGCACCGTGTCCAAAAACGATTTTGATGTCATAGCCGATTTCACAGACTGCAGGAGATCACAGACGCTGGAAACACACCTCACAACAGATGTGTTCACCGCCGACGACATCGACGTTCGTCGTGCAGCGGAAGCACAAATGTCGGAGTTGAACATGCATAGGCATGTTCAACAGAACGGTCTTTGGGGGTTCTACAGGGGCCCCAATGGTGACGGTCCTCAGCTAGACTACTACCTGGCATTGCAGCCAGACTGTATGCACACAATCGAGCACGGCATATTCCTGCATATGATTGACGCATTCAGGACCACAGCCTTTGAGAAGTTGCCGCACTTATCGCAAACAGAGATCCTGAAGGAACTAGATGCAAGGTTGCAAAGCGTTAGTGAGAGATGCACGCGAACATACCCCCAACTTGTGCTGTCGGTGGCCACTGACAGCGACTTTTTTTCGAGGGAGGGACGGTTCGAGGCGAAGCAAAACCGGTCTGTGATGACAGTGTGCGTGTTCCTTATTTCTAATATTATCCTGCGCTCGACAGGCAAGGGCATTACCGTTTGTTTTGTGAAACTGATGGAAATGTACATACGAGTATTTCGGTGTACAAAACACACTCGTGCTTCGCTCGATGAATGCGACGCTTTGATCACGGACTTCGTAATGACAATCAAAGCAAAATTGAAAAAATATCAACCATCAACATGGAAACTCCCCAAGTTGCTCGATCTCATGCATCTGACAACGTGTATTGAGCGATCCGGTGTCCCCGACACCTTCGCGACAGATGTTTGGGAGCATCACCACATGAAATTCTGCAAACAACCATACCTGTCACCAGACAAGCGGAAAGCTTCAACCCAGATGGTAAACCATGTACGTCGGTCATTGGCGTTGCGCGAAGAGATCAGGATCGTGAGGAAACGGAGGAAGAGAACGGTTGAGAACCGGTCGTCCGTGACAGACTGTATGACCACCGGAATGAACACCCTCGCACTACGCGATACAGCAATGCTGCAACTGCGGTGGTTCGACATCGATGACGAGTACATACGCGAGGGAGAAGGCATTGACAACCATGCGTGTAAGATACTCAAAGAGCTTCCTTGCAGACGAGATTTTCGAGTTGCGCTTACGACATACATAGTGGAGAATGGTTGTCAACCTCCTTCTAACGACCTCCTTATACACACACGGACACACCTGGCCATCGCCTGCGTACAGGACGGAACAAACAGGGGCACACTTGTTCAAACTGCAAGAGCGTTGCCACAGTTCCATGGGAGACCAGTGCACAGTGACGTCGCAATTAGAGCAGGCAACGAATGCACATGGTTTGCATCAGTAGCCATGTTTTTTGTCATGGACGCACCCGCAGACAGCGGTATTATGGAACACAGCTGCGGATTTGTGCAATGGTACAAGGAGGTCGACAGTGAACGGCAACACATGACAGGTTGCAAGAAATTGAACTGGGAGAAGTTGAATGGACATCAACACCGTAGCGTCATTTCGACCGACACTATTGTAGACATAATTCACATTGTTCCGCGCTTCTCTAAACCACAATGGGGATCGAAGCAGCATGCAAAACAGCGTGAGGACTGTTTTTATTTGAACAAGTACATATTGTAGAAGAAACAAATGC